ACAGTGATTATGTCTTCTAGCAGTGAGGACAATGCTTACTGGGCTTTGTTGATATTGATAAATGTTCTGTTTTAGGCAGTGATCGGGTACATTATGTTTTCTTTTTTTTTCTAATTTACATATGTTTTAACATATTCCTTGTATGAAAGGAATGCTTTTTTAATATTTATTTTTTAGTTGTAGTTGAACACAAACTTACTTGTTTTTATATGGTGCTGAGGATCAAACCCAGAACCATAACCCCAGACCCAAGCAATGCTTTTTCTAATGAAAAAATACCAAAAAGAAACAGGGTGAATTTTTCCCTAAGTTTTAATTTTGAAAATTACCAAGCCTCTAAAATAGTTGAAAGAATGGTTATTTAACACCATATATCCTTCTCCTAGATTTATCTGTTAATACTTTGCCACAGTTGCTTCACTAGCGAGTATGTTTTATTTTTATGCTGAACCAGGTGAAAGGTTACTTTTTTTGTGTGGTTCTGGAGATCAAACCCAGGGCCTTGTGCATGCAAGGCAAGCACTCTACCAACTGAGCAATATTCCCAGCCCTGAAAGATTACTTTTTATTCCTCATTCTTCACTTACATGTCAWCATTTATTTCTTAAGAACCAAAGCATTTTCCTGCATAACTACAGTTCACTTGTCTTACTTAGGAAAATTAATATATAACAAATACAGTACTAGCTCCCCATTTGACCTCAGTGATATCCTTTATAATTTGTGTTTCCCTCCCCCATTCTGTAGGTAGTTGTCATACTGTCCAATTTCCTTCAATTTGGAATAGTTCTCTAGACTGTTATATTTGTTTGTTTTTGAGATTGGACTTCACAGTGTTGCCCAGGGTGGCCTCAAATTCCTGGGCTCAAGGGATCTTCTTCCTRCCTTTCCCTGGCGAGTAGGTGGAACCATAGGGCCTGTGCCACAGAATATTGTTGGGACTTCTTTTTTAATTATAGGCATATATTTTTGTAGCATATATCTCAGTTTGGACTTTGATTATTTTCTCATGATTAGATTCAAATTAAACATTTTTAGCAGAGATACTAATTACTTGGTAATGTGTTCTTTGTGTATTCCATCACAAACACAAGGTAATATTAGGTTTGGTCAGTTGGTTAAGATGGTGGTTGCCATTTTTCTCTATTTTAACAGTTGTTTTTTGCTTTTCACTAATTGACATGTAATCTGTATTAATACAYGAACCTGGGTGAATATCCTTTTACGTCCAGTACTCTTTCACCAAATAGTTTAATCATCCATCAATGATTTTTTTTTTTTTGGTGCTGGGGATTAAACAGGAACATTCAATTACTGAGCCTCCCCAGCCCTATTTTGTATTTTAGAGACAGGATCTCACGGAGTTGCAGAGGGCCTCATCACTGCACTGCTGTGATTACAAGCGTGTGCCATCACGCCCAGATGATTTTTATCTTTTACCAGCATGGATTAAAAAATGTGTATACACACACACACGGGATTGAACCTAGGGGTGCTCTATAACTGAGCTACATCCCCAACCTTTTTTATTTTTATTTTGATAAAGTCTTGCTGAATTGCTGAAGGTGGTCTTGATTGAATGTGTGATCCTCCTGCCTCAACCTCCCAGGTTGGTAGGATTATAGGCATGTACCACTGYACTCAGCTGAAAATTCCATTTTTATTCAACTAGTTTTAGTTTGTTCATGTTGCTAATCCTTTTAATGGCCATATTATCTCAAATTTAATCAGCCTCTCCAGGTAGGCTCTTGTGTCCTTTCAACTTGACTTTTAGTTTTTCCTTATTTTCTGGAGTAGTAATTGAAGCTTGCCTTTTCCTGCCTCTGCTCTGGATTACCATTTCTTCCAGTCCTGATTCTTTTCAGTAAAGGAACAGTATAGGCCAAGATCTGGGGATTAGATGTGAAATTGTTTTTGCAATCTCAGAGAGAGATTAAAGTGTAACCAAAATTCAAGAGACATAAAGTATGAAATATTGGGCAAAATAAACATAAAAAATTTGAGGAAAAAAAAAGCCATAACTAAAGTAAAAGTAATGACAGCCAATCTGGCACACATATGTAGTCCCAACCACTGGGGAGACCTAAGTCAGGCAGATTTCAAATTTGAGGCCAGTCTGTGCAATTTAGTGAGACTCTGTCTCAATATAAAATGGGCTAGGGATATAACTCAGTGGTGGACACCATTGTGTTCAATCCTCAGCACTGCAAAAATAATAATTAAAAATAAATTMAAAAAAGTGGGGGGAATTAGTTTCAACTCCTATATATCATAATCCTCTAATACAAAACAATTATGCAATTTAAAAAGACCACAGCCCAACAGAAGAATGAACAAAGGATACAATACAAAGTTTATTTAAAAAAGAATATATGTGATTCTTAAACAATTAAAAAGATAAGACATCTGAATTAAAAGTACACTGAGATGTCATTTTTTCACTTATCAGATTGACAGAGATCAAAAAACTTGATAAAGCACTGTTCATGAGGCTGTGGGGGAAAAGGCCTCCTCATACATTACAGGTAGGAGAGTGCATTGGATTGTAGCTATCAAATGTACAACCATAAAATGAAATATTATGTAGTCATGTAAAAGCATGATGGAAACACCTTTTAAATATAGAGCTATATGACTGTATTGTCTATTTAAATGAGTAAATTAGTATTTTAAAATAGAGAATTGAATAGCTTTGCTGATGTACTATGGAAGTAGACTAAATTAAGTAGTACATCATAGAGAACAGGCAAAAATTCTTAGTCTCAAAATTATTTGATGTTAAGAATCAGACTTGAGAGACAGGCTACCTAGATTCACTGACTAGATCTGGCTACTTACTGTGTGTTCTTAAAGCAAGTTACTTAATGTCTCTGTGCCTCAGTGGAAATGGAGTAATAGAACCTAGGTCATAAAGTTGTTGGGAAGTTTAAATAAACTATATAAAGTCTTTAGTGCCTGGCACATAGTAAGCACTCAATAAATTTTAGTTGTTATCAACTAATAGTATTTGTTTTAAGGCTGACGAAGAGAAGCCAGATTCTTGCTATGTACGATTAATTATTGAACACGGTAGAAAAATTGTGTTTAGTAAGGGTTACCAGTATTTAGAAGTATGGGAATATATATATAAGACACACACACACACACACACACACACACACACACACACATATAGAAACTATACTGCATGAGTATAATTTAATTGATTAGTATAATTCATTTGATTCTTTGATTCAACCACTGTTTCATTTATTTCTTCTTCAGTGAAATATTTATTGAGCATCTATATGTGCCAGGTGCCCTCAGGTTCCTATAATTGTCAGATTTGTTATTATAATCATTAATCAGTTTACTGGGCAAGTATAAAAGTAAAGGATTTTAGTACAGACATGTATACTAATTAAAAATAACAAACCTAATTATTAGTGGTTTTCGTAGGCAAGTATTATAAGATTGTTATCCTTTTTTAAAAGTATAAAGCCCACACACTTGCTTTATACTTAATGTTTACAACTTACAAGGTCTAGAGAGCTTAGCCATATTATATTTTCAGTGTGTAGAGTTACATCTGTAAACTACAGTAATAGAAGAATTCTCTAGTTATTTATCTGTTAGTGTACATCATTAAAATTGCTGTTGTTAGCACTGCAGTGTAGATATATTTTAAAATCCTGTTGGGTACATAAGCTAGTTTATAAATTTAATAAATGCTTTTTAGTGTAAAGTTGTAGAATTTGTGTACTTCTAGTAATACACAGGTTACTTTAAAGTGTATGTGTTTGTCTAACAGGCGCTTACAGCTTTTAGATGGGGAATATGAAGTAGCCATGCAGGAAATGGAAGAATGTCCAATAAGCAAGAAAAGAGCAACATGGGAGACTATTCTTGATGGGAAGGTATGGACTACTTAGAAGGCTGAGCACGTTATAGTTATGAACTCCCATTTTTGATTGATGTTTTCTTCTCTAAATGCAAATTCATGTTGAAAGTAGATTACTTTGTTTTAGTACTTTGAAGAACACAACTAAAAATGATCTAGTCAGAATATTTAATGAAAGACATTGTTCTTGGAGCCAGATTGCCTCATTAAAATTTCTGTTCCTAACTGTGTGGCATTTGGCAAATTACTTAACTTGTGTCTCAGTTTTTTTAATCTGTAAATTGAGGGACAGAATTGATGTATTAAATAAGGTAATTAATAAAATGTTTAATATTGTGCCTGGCATACAATAAGTGCTCAATAAATGTTAACTGATAATTTCAATCCCATTCATAGTAACAAGTAATGTGATGTCTGATAATAAATATTAAGAAATTACATAACTTAGATGAAGCATACTTCAAAATAACTTTGAAGAGTTATAAAAGAATAAATAGGCATACATATTTCTTGAATAGACTCAATAAAATATAATAGTGTCATTTATTTCTCAATGTATCAGTGTACTAACAAAAGCAAAATCTCAATTTTTTTTTTAAAGCCCAAAAGATAGTCTCAAATTAATCTCATAATGTGTAATACTAAAGAAACTTTAAAAAAATTTACTTACCAGTTAGTGGAACAAGCCATAAAGTTATAAAAACTTAAACTGTTTGATGTAATCATAAGAGTAGATAATCATATCACTGAATTATAGTGCTGAAGGATTTTCATGTATACTTGAAATTTAGTTTATGATAAAGGTGGTAATATAGGTGTGAATGAGAAAGAGAAATTATTCATTAATTGTGGTTTCTACTCATCTGAAAATAAACTTGAATTCCCAAAGGATTATAAATACTAAATGTAAAAATTAACAGTCCTGCCTGGGTGTGGTGGTGCACCCCTGTAATCCCAGTGACTCAGAAATCAGAGGCAGGAGGATTGCAAGTTTAAAGCCAGCCTCAGTAATTTAGCCAGGCCCTAAGCAACTCAGTGAGACCAGTCTCAAAATAAATAAAAAGGAATTGGAATGTAGCTCAGTGGTTAAGTGCTCCTTGGTTCAAGCCATAGTTCTTACAATCTTAATTTTTTTTAAAGAAACTATTAATAGGGGCTGGGGATGTGGCTCAAGCGGTAGCGCACTCGCCTGGCATGTGTGCGGCC